GCCCCATAGGGGACCGTGTTTTTTTTTGTTTTTTTTTTGAGGAAAACCCCCGAGTCCTGCGGCTTTCGCGCACAGGACTAGGGGGGAAAAACCTCAGGAAGGGAAGGAAGTCGGGTCGAGGGACAAGAAAAACGCACAAGGGGGTAAGGTGAAGTTAAACGCGAAGAAGCTAAGATGAGTTAAACGCAAAAGGGACAAGTTAAACGCGAAAGGTCTGCCCTTAGTCAAGATTCACCGCAACGAAAGACCGCGGGCGTAGCACCCAGCGAACCCTTGCGGGCACGCCGGGACATCCGGAAGGACGATATTTAACGCTACAACCTCCGTCCCTTCCCACGGGCAAGCCCAGTGGGTTAGACGTAAGGAACCACGCCCGCCGCCGGCGGGGGGCCCCGTTAGCCATCGATCCCCGCGCAAAATGTCTCCGACAGAGGGTGACTTTATACTAGCGGGTGCTCAATAGCACCCGCACCTATCCCAAGTGAAGTGACCCCCAAGCACAAGCACAAGTAGGACTTTACCCAAAGTCAACGGACTACCCCTCCGACCTCCCCACGGACAAATAGGATCGTCTCTACCCACACAAGTGCCCAAGGGTCAAGACATGTTGGAGCGTTTTTAGCAAAGCGAACAAATTATACTAAATACGCGAGAGCTAGACACCTGGCTAGATTCACTATACGAAAGACCATGGCCGTAGATACCCTAAGGGGGCTCAAGGCCCCCGTCGGGAGACCCATAAGGTCCTGTTGCGGCCACAACTTGGGCCACCAACCACTGAGCAAGCTCAGCGGAAGAGGCGGAAGGGCAACCCCCGACACCATGGTCTTAAGTCTAGCTGCACTAACCGGATGACTACTCTTATATCACTACTTGAATTAATATGCTCGACCCGACCAAAGGGTTAGGAAAAGTAAGACAAATACAATGAAAAGTGAGAGGGAAAAAAGCGAAACGAGAAGAAAGAAATAAAGAAAGAGATAAATAAGAAAGTGAAGAATAAAAGACAAGAAAATAAGGAATTAAAGAAGAAATGAATATAGAAGAAGAAGAAAGTTGGAAATGGATATAGAAATAAAGAAGTGAGAATAAGATAATAAGAAAGAAATGATAAAAGCGAATATAAGAAGGAAATGAATATAGAAATGAAGTGAAGAAGTAGAAAAGTGAGGAATAGAGTTATGAAAGTTGAGAAGAAATAAGGAAAGAGATAAATAAGAAAGTAAAGAATGAAATATAAAGAAAGAAGGAAGTAAAGAAGAAATAAATATAGAAAGACAAGAAGGTTGCAAAGGGATAATTGAAATGATTCCAAGAGACCAGTATAGGAGACCGGCTCGAGGAAGAATGAGCGCTCGGAGTCCGGGCACTGCCTCGAGCGCTCCCCCCCACACTTCCCCCACTCTAGAGTCCTGCGCCACGGCAATTTCCATTACTTCTGAATATTCTTCGCCAGCATTTCTGATTTCCAAGTGTTAACATCTAACTTTGTTGATTTCATTATTTTAATATTCCAAACACTTAATTTATTAATATTCAATTTGAATTAACACTAATCGTACCATCGATGGGTCATTTGACCCTTTTGAAGCCAAAAATACGTTTATAAAAAATTGTCGGTATGTTTAGTGTTAACTATTAACAGTGTCAATCGATAATTTCATACATCTTGTAAACTCCTTCTTTGTTGATTAGTGATTGCTTTTTGCAGTAACCTATTCATCAGCTTTAGTGTTGCTTCTTTTTCTTTACCCACTATTTTATTCATCTGCAGCACAGAAACCTTCGATAAAATTTGCCGCTCGTTTCCATTTGCCTCACTCTCCTCCAAGTATGTCCTTGGAAACTAAGTTGTTAAAATGTCCCTTGAAAAAGGAAACGTCCAAAGTAATGGTACCTATAACGTGGAACGTATATATTATATTGTAGTGACATATTTAATACATATCTAATGATATTATTATTGCTAAGCTTTCACAGGCCATGTACATACATGTACATGTACATCTGTACTTTATATACTGTTTCATTATTATTTATATTTGTCGAATAAATTATCTTGAAACACTTACGCGTTGATATGCCTTTGTCCTCTGTGAATATCCCAGAGTACGATTGAGTTCTGTCTGTCACATACTCTCCTCCGTCCTAACTGCATTCTTCTCTTTATATGCTTCGACACCGTCTTCGGCTATCCTTTATATTCCCTGCCATTATTTCCACCGTCTTTCCTTATTTCATCCCTCATTCATTTAGCATCCATCTCCCGACTTAATTTTTCTTCAACGCTACTGTCTATGACAAAAAAGATTTAGAATGTAACCTGAAAATCGCATCATCGAAACTTGGAATGGGTCAATTAATAATAAATGAATTTATATTAGTTCGAATTTTCGTCTTTAAGGGGGGGAGCACTTCCTGGGCATGATAAGTGGCGCAATCTCTAAGAAAATCAGTGTACCTTCTGCGATAAAATTTGCTTCCCTACCTTTTTACTAAAGGGAAGGATCAGCGACGATAAATTCCGTGAGCGTGCGGCACTGCAGTACAGTGCGCGTATGAGCTCCAGGAGGTAGTCGAGCGGGTTCATCGCTTGTCAAAGAGATGGCGCTGCATGTACTGCCCCCATAAGCGGTAAACTCGGAGCTAAATGCTTACCATGCTGCGGCCACGTATTTCCAAAGTGCAGTAACCTTATTTCATATAAAATTAGTATAATAAAGTATTGTACACTGTAATCGTTACGACAAGCATATATATTGCGACAAGCATACATATTACGACAAGCATTATATACTTATTCTTGTTTCTACTATCTCTTAATAGCTTCACGCGTTACATAACAGATGGAACTTACTATTACAGAAGATAAAAATCTAAATTGTATTTATACCATTGCAGGTATAATCCAAAGGAACGAGCTCTGCAAGATGGTAATGGTGAAGCAGAATTTGACAGGGTTGTCTTTACCATAATCACTGAACAGCTTGAGTACTCCTGAAACAGATGGCACCACGTTGAAATAAAACACTGTAAACATATCTCACTAGGGATGCAAGAATGTCATAAAACAAGAAATACTCATTAGATGAATGTCCAAAACATCATATGGAGCACCAAAAATTTGTGAACAAGAAAAAAAAATGTTTTACCTTTATCACGATTCTCTATAATCAACCCCAGTCCGAAATTTTCACACATTTAAAAATACACTCGCCAAAAATCATCTCTAATCCACAGTACACCGATTCTCAAAGCAAAAAATATAATTTTACAAAATCACAAATATCCAACAAGCTCATACGAGACAGATAGGAGATCTGCGGTGCGGGGTGCGAAAAAAAAATAAATAAAAGAGACAAGAGGAGCAGACAGTGGCGTAGAGGGGTAGGCAAGAACGCAAGAGAATAATAATAACGTTGGTACTGTGATTCGCATAAAAATGTTACGCAGGATATTCGATTCGACGGCGCCCGGCAACGCCCCTTTAAAATTGTAGCGTCCCCTAACTCCTTTTTCACTGTGGACAATAGGGCACAACGTAGCGTACACACAATATGCTTTCATAGGCTTTTAACTGTGTTGTGCGCTATGTCGTGCGCAAGAAGAGGGTGCGGGAGTATATACGAAACGGGAAAGCTTGCGTCGCCATAATACCTCGCGCCGCAAGAATGTCATTATTCGGGGGATGGTATTGTGTCTCATTAAAATGCCTTCTTATTTTTCTAACGCACACCCGACACAAGGAGGATCCAACGGCCGGAGCGATTGTGGCGCCGCCACCCGAAGTGCGGGTGGACGTCAGAAGCAGCTGAGAAAGAAAAAGTGGATGGAATTTCAAGACGGAGATAAAAAAAATAATAGGGGATGATTCTGTACACGGGGAATGAAAAAAAAGGTGGATGATAAAAATTTCCTCAAAAAAAAGAAAAAATGAACCTCGAATAATTTCCCTCTGTTTACCTTAATATAACTCTTAAATACTTGAAGCAACTTTTACTTGGGATAATTACTGTAAACATCTCTAACAACCCTTAACGAGTTACTTAACTTCTCTGTTATCAACTGAAACTTATCGACCAGAGTTTTTGCCTTTCGTGACACAGCATCATTTATACAATCTCGTTAGTGCCGATCAGTGCGTGTGCTCTATGCGTGTAAATATATACGGTATATACAGCGATAACTTAAAATTACATAACAGACTTAATAAAAATGGCGGACAGTACCCACCGGAAGTAAATTTACTAGTAGAAACCACGAATACCAACCCCGTCACGCACTGAACACAAAAAAACCTGAATTTCAACCCCTAAAATCCTTATTAAAAAAAAAAAAAAAAAAAAAAATACAGCGATAACTTAAAATTACATAACAGACTTAATAAAAATGGCGGACAGTACCCACCGGAAGTAAATTTACTAGTAGAAACCACGAATACCAACCCCGTCACGCACTGAACACAAAAAAACCTGAATTTCAACCCCTAAAATCCTTATAAAAAAAAAAAAAAAAAAAAACTTCACCCGCGTCAAACGTACCCAGAAACCACCTACGAATTCGCGAAATCATTAAAAATTCCCCAAAAAAAAAAAAAAAAGACAGAAACCCATAATAACTACCCCTGTCAGAAGCAAGGGTAGGAAACATAACGTGAGAAGAAATAAGAGAAAACCGTTTGAGGAGTAAATGGAGGGTAAGGGCTGTATATCCGCCCTCAATTTAACACCATCACCAACCACGTTGAATAATAGTAATAATAATAGTGCTGGCAATACCAAAGAGCCAGTAGAGACGATATAGGAATACCATTGGCAATACTATATACTAGGAAATGGGCTGTAGCACACTATACCGTGCTACAGTACGCCAGACTGTACTATAATAGTTGGTACCAGCATCAGCAGCCCGCTGCCAGTGTACAATTACTCCCGATTGTTAAGTAAACACCTATTCAGGGGTGCAGGGCGCAACCCCGTCATTGGAACTGTCAAAATCACGGTCGTTATTGTCGCCGCATTGAAGAATAGCGTGAATTGCCGTGTTTGCCACGTTCATTGTTTACGTCATTGTTTACAGGCCGTGCGAGAGTAGGGGTGGTGAGAAGGGAAGGGGGGAGGGTAGAAAGAGCAAAGAGTGGGGAGGGAGCATATATACCTATAGAGTCGAAATGTCATTCTTGTGGTAATAGCGCCGGGGTTACTTGGTGCGAAAATATTGGTTAGGACTGACCCCGCAGGACGTCAACTAACCACCCTTGCAACTGCCACCCGCGGAGGTAGGACGGTCGGTGGGCTACTGGGAGGGAGGTGGAAATATTTTGAGGGTGCCTTTACTTGGACTCACCGTCTACTTGGCTGTGTTGGCCACCTTTAGCATATGAGGGGTTATGTCATGTCTAGATCTCTATGTGGACGCACTGACGCACTTCAAACCCCCGGCCCAGTTTGTGACACCTTCTGTATTTACTGGTTTATGCTTGTATCTATATATATATAGATAGATAGAGACGTATTCGCGCTCGATTACAGCCTCCATGGGAGTTCGCCAGTGGGACCACTCCACGTTACGATTCTATTTCAATTCCTCCCGCAAACATAATTTATCTTCGGGACGTATTTGCTCGACATATTGCCTGGCTCGTTGAACCGACAGATACGACGAGGAAAAAGCTGATGTTATGCGAATTCGGTCGATCTCCAAGGCCTAGCTCGTAGTGAGTTTTATATTTATAGGATAATTAGTTTGTTTACTTTTTTACAAAAAAATTTCCCCAGACATTGGCAACTTTTAACGATAACGATTTTTTTACGATACTCTAACATTATTGTTAGGGGTTCGAGTGGAAAGGAAAAAAAAATAAAATTTACGTAACAATATTTTTACGATATTTACAAAGGAATATAGCTTTATGGTCACTTCAGGATGTATTTGTTGTTGGTGATAGTGTTATCGAACTCTTGGATATTATGGGGACTTGGATGAAAATATGCCTGGAGGATATTACTATCTGTTATACGTATGGTAATAGCGGGAGCGGTAATAGTAGCAATGGGAGCAGCAGATATAATCCAATAATCTTGTAAGTCGCATTCAGATACAGAACCAAGTGGAAGTTGAGGAAGAAGAGGACAACGAGGACGTGGAAGCAGAGTAGTAGTAGTGGCTGTGGGAGAAGAAGGAAGAGAAGTAGGAGAACGTCGTACATAGAGCCAAAGTGGAATGAGTAGTCGGTTGATTTTTATTTTCATTCCGCGAAACCAGTTCCGATGAAAGCCCAGACTGAGAAATAGTCTCACAATGCGTATTGTGACTTGCCGGGCCCGACTGTATTACCTTCAAATGCATCCAACGCGCGTCTCACCGAGGTCCACTTTACAAATGAAAAAGAAAAATCCTGTATATGCATCTACGAGGCACTACACACAGAGCCAGTAACGCGTAAGGAGACACGTAGCGCCCGTGTGAGTTTACTGAATTTCCCGTCTTCTCTTTTTGGCAAATAAATGGCGCCACAATCGCATCGACAAAAGCCACGCTCGACCCTTGACGTTTGAATTCATAACGGTGATTATGCTCGCGTGGTCAATTAACCGTACAATTGACAATAAGCAGTGGCTACCGTGACAGTGAATTAATGCGGATACTTTATACTAAATGGGTATAGAAGCGAATAAGTAAATAAACGGGACAGTGACGGTTGGTTAGTACTGTAAGTGGATAGCTAGCTAGATAGGTTAGGCAGTGCTATTGCTAGTGACTGTACGCAGGAACAGTATCCGTTCATGGGGAACTATGGAGCGGATACCTAACTTAACACACACGGCGTCATTGTCTAGTATCTCATTGTGCTTTCGAACTATGGCCACGTTGTTGTGCATGCATCTCCATTGTCAAACACGACGCTCCGTTTAGACAGATACTGCCGGACAACGTTGGAGCGTTTAAGCATACCACCAATGCCAATAGGTGGCTATCGTTAACAAATTATACAGGTGGTAGGTTTGTGGATACATTACATAATAATATATTGATTGCGTTACTTACCCAACCACCAGTTGGCCCAGTCATAAACGATAAATCTTGAGAACACAGGAGTCAAAACGAAGAGAAGAGAATTTGTATACACAACTGCACCTGTCACTCGGCGTCCCACAATGCAACTGAAGGTATTTTAGTTACGCTACTTGCCGCATCGCTGTCGAATTTTCGTATGGCCTCCTCGATATACCGTGTGTACCGATAACATTACAGTATCGTTATTGTTGTATTGTGTATTACAGTCATGGCGCGTTACCTGCATTGGCTTTTGTCTCGAGTAACGGCGATGGCAGAGAGGATGCCAGAGGCTGTACCACGCAAGCTCGGAATACGAGGATGAGAGAACAAAATGGCGAATAACGGTGAACTCACGCCCAATACAATACCAGGGGGTGGTAACCAGACAATACGGAAGCCGAGTTCGTACTGTATTTTCCTACTTTTTACTTCCTTCCTTTGCACCTTCCATTCTTGCGTCTGTAGTATTTTCCTTTATTTATTTTGCATCCTTTCTTTTTTATCATACACAGAATATACACACGATCATATACCGCATCACGTAACTCCTGTCTACCGGGTGAAAGATGGTGGTTGAGTATTTCCTGATGTTTCTCTGGCTGCAGGTTGTGTACCATACGTGTGCAAATTCTCAACGGACAGACGCCGAGTCTCTCTACGGGATAGGAAACCGCAATCAATTTCCACGCTTGACAATGACTGTTGACAATATTGTTGTCGGGCGAAAATAATTAAATTAATGACAGCCGACGTAGAAAGAGCGAGATGTAACGCGATTCAATGCTCGCCGGTACCCTTTCTAAAATACAAATCCCCTGCCTCCCCTCCACTTCACTTCTAAACCTCCCCTCCCCCCTCACTCCAGTACCTACACTGAGGGCTTCCCTTCTAGTGGTGGTTCCTGGGTTTTGTACACTATATCTACTTTCTCTTCTCCGTATTCTCTGTCCTTTCTCTACAGGCACTCTCTTCGCTACGAAGCATAATAGTATTCCGCCGTAGTACCAGCACAGGAAAACAAGCACGAGGCCTACTGGAAAGTAATTATCTTAATGTCGACGAGCCTTCTTGAATATAAACGAGTGGCAAACGTTCCAGGAATGGGGTGAGTATACAGGCTCCCCGTCGATGCCAGAAGCTCGTAGACGTCTATGGGAATAGAAACGAAGATGATATTAGGATACCGTTAGATTAATAAATATCAATTAAAAAAAAAAAATTAACAAATAATTCATACGAGTCATAAACTACAGAAATAAATATACAGATCCTGCTACCATGCGATATCATACATAAGATCCCAACGACCTCCCTCCGCTTACGTTGCAATCCCAATCTCTAAGAGCCATTATACAAGGTGTCCTTAAATTCAATAAAATTTTTGCAATACCTCCGACACCTCCTTTCATTCCAGAAACTCGATGCCATTTTCCAATCTCAATTAGTCATTACGTCTCATAAAGGCCTCACAGCGATTCCAACACCGTCCTCCAAAGTCCCCTGGCACCAGTCGCGGCGATTGGGTTTCCCATTAATTACGTCTGCGCTCTCCTACGGTTTACGGTGTAGTTACGGAGGTTGTTACCCCATACGTTACGCGTACGCGGAGTCACGCACGCACGCATGCGGCAACTTTCAGCTCCTGGGCAGGCAAGGCATCGAGGCAGACATAGAAGTAGGTAGACTGCTAAATAAACAGGCATATAAATATATACTCTTATATACATATATAGGCAAAGCGAAGGGGGTGAACAGGGTATAGGAATGGTC